GCATGTAATGAATTCTACTACACACGTCATAGTTGATTTCTGAAAAACATAGATTACCTAATAAATACAATTTAAATTAGATTAAAGTATTTCAACCTTGATTTTGCTTCAAGATTGGAGAATTTAACTAATGCTGAAAATAAAAACATAACAGAAAAACATGGGAAAAAAAAAAGTAAAGATTTTGAAGATTCATGATTTGTATCAAGTACCAATAGTCGACTGAATCTTTGTCCTGCCAAAATCCTAGGTGAAGTCATTGCAGACTTCTCAGCAACAAGCGCACAACATGATGGGCAGTCCTGAATATAGATGTAAATAAAGCAAAAACAACCACAAGACTGGGTTGTGAGGACAGCAGGTATATATGTCTTGTAAGGTATACAAAAAAATATAGGAATCTTAATATAGAATCAGGATCTCATTTATCCTCTTAAGCCTATTTTAGTTGAATTCATAACTTCAACGTTCAGGGTTGGCATTAACTGACCATAATCAACATAGCTTAAATTATGCTATCTCACTTAGAAGTAAGCAACCTGATTTGTGAAGAAAAGCTGCATGTATTGGTCCTTACAACAAATTGTATAAATCTTAACGTCTACAACCTTAAACTTCACAAATTGTTCTTTTACACCCTAGCTCCATTCATGACAGAACTATGAAATGACATTCTAACAAAGAAGAAAAAGAAATCCACTAAAGAAAAAGGCAGCACAAACACGTTAAACCATCCAAGCAATTATCATTTTCATGTTGCAAAACATAGCAAAAAATAGCTGGAGAACAAGGTTAACAAAGCACTAGACAAGACTAACTTACCTTTCTGCAACTGAAATTTTCAATTAAAGCCTCTTTTAGTGCCTTGTAGAAGGAAGAAAAATTCTATCATTTCTGCTGATTATTACTGAGACTTAAGTCAATTTTTTAAATGAAATGTTACCACTGGTTTGGATGGGAGCTTGGGACCATTCAATAAAACTAGCTTGAGACTCTCAAACAGGTTATAATATAACAGATCAATCTGCTCAATAATTTACCATTCAGGAAAAAGAACTTTCAGTTGAGTAAATAAATATCAATGATATTTGAACCCTAACATCTCTAAAGTAGTAGGATCAAACTCTAAGACATGATTTGCAGATGGAATAATCCAACTCTTGGTATCTGAACTTAACTCGTGAAATTAATCTATCCCAGTGTAGGTAATGTTTTCTATACTTTTGTTGGCTTGTCATTGGAATTAGATAAACAAAACATGCGATAGGAATGATACATGTCCCAATAAGCTAATCAGATAATAAACAATTATGCAATTTTAGTTAGGTTATTTTGAGCCCTCAATTGTACTTGTGGCACAATTAATTCAACAAGATTCAAAGAGATCAAGCTAATGTAAGAATGTGAACAGTAAAATAAAACATACTTCTTAAAAAAAGATTAAGGATGACTAATCTATTTGACATGAATCAAGCAACCATATTAGTTCAGCATGTGAACTCTACTCTGCTCACTTCATGTTGATGACAGGAACAGTGAAGAACTCATCATTTTCGAGTGTTCTATTCAAGTAGAAGGCATAAATGACAGTTGAAGCAACAGAACCAACATCTGCAAATTATCATCTAACAACTTAGAAGAACACAATCATAAAAAATCATTTATAAGTCAATTGCCAATCTAAACGCAAACCAAGTTACCAAAGATCTTTATCATTCAACATTTTTGTGAACTTGTACAAAGAAGCTATGTCTGTATAGGTTCTTTAGTAAATCTCATTCTAGCAGCTATATTCTTTACCAAATTCATAAGGTTGCATCTGGCAGGCTAATTAGTAGTGTTATTGTATAATTGACATGAATTTGGCGTATTTAGCTGTTTTTCTCTTTGGCTTCTAAATATTCCAAGACTTTAGGACCTACTATAAAATTTGTTTTATAAGAGAAAACTAAAGAGAATTACCAGATACCTCTTGCCCAATTACAGCATGCAAGAATCTTCCTGGGACACAACAATTAATGCCATCCCTTCTGCATTTCAGAATAAATTAAGATGGTTAATGCTTTCACAGGACTCTACAATTTCCATTTGTAGTGAGTGCCCATTGAAATATGATGCTGCAGACTGAGAAAGTGGAATTCTTGACAAGTCTTTTTTACTTTTGTTAACACTATGGGTTTTTTCAACTGCCGGTCTTGCTCCTGTAGGTAAAGGACGGCAAGATTCTGCTGCTTCAGAGGTTGTGCAGGTGTTGAAGTCTTCTATTCCATCATTTGGATCACCAACAACAATGCTCAAGTCTGACTGAATACTATTCAATTCCAGTGGAGCTGTTTTTACGCTCCTTGTCCCACTCTTCGACATATCTTGAGCAAAAAATTCATGAACAACGCCTGAAACTGAATCATCTAATGGCGAATCCATAACTTCTCCAGATATATCATGTTCCAGTCTTCTGTGCCTAATTTTGTCACCCATATCTGATTTAGATTATAAAGTTCTGGGGCTACGTACTTCATCAAGTCTTAGCAGACCATCAAAGTAAGGATCTTCTCGGGTCTGGATATATGGCTCCTTCAGAACCAGAAAAACAATCACAAGGACTCAGAAGAAATGAGTAAAATATGTAT